CACATTAATAGGTTCACTAAAGTCAGAAGATCAGCAAAGATCTTTACTTCAGGATAATTAAAAAGCAGAAAAGCTTAAGACAGAGTAAACTTAGGCTCTAGCTTACCACCACCTCTTCCACGAGCTCTTCCTGCAAATCCTCCTCTAGATCCCCACTGTTGCTGTTGCTGATACTGTTCCTTCGACATGGCTACTTTTATTTCACACTAAAAGAGAAAAATTACATTATTAAACTGACTCAAGAAAATAAAAGTTGCTCAACAAGTTTCCAATAACCAGGATAGCCAATGTGTTTTAAATAGAGTATGCTAATTTGAAACTTTTCCTCAGTTTATTAATTAAATCAATCTTTAGTACTTAAGAGTAATCTTATGAGTACTTGGCTAGAGATGTTACTTCATTCTACTTGTTAAGTCCTAAAAAATATTTTTGCAAAAGCCTAGACAAAAACACTAAAAATAACAAATGTGTCCGTCCTGCTCCCCACAAAAAGTTGCTCAACGGTAAGTAACCAGTAAGAAGTTTTTAAAGCATACAAAAAACTTAAGCCTTTTTAGAGAAAGATAAATTATAAAACTCTTTGTAACAGCAAGTTTTCTCTACAACTAAAGATGCTTAACTTACTTTACTAAGACCAACATTGTGGTATTTCTTTTCCATTATCTTCTTCACTGGTTCTTCTTCCTTAAAGGTAATAAAGCAGAAGCCACGCCTCTTATTGGTCTTGTTGTCCATGGGGAGCTCTATGGATTCCACCTGATATTAAAAAGCAAATTTTAACATGCTAGCTTGCATTTTATTGACCTTAAAACACACACACACACATTTAGAGGTGGGGAAATGCACACAGAAAACATGTATTTGACACTAAAGCTCTATTCGTCTCCTGTTTCTTCCTGTTTATTCTAATCCTTTTAAGGAATTCTTTAAATTAGAACATCCATTCCATCTAAGGTCTTCACAACTATCTACAAACACCAGGTACTGAACATTTACTACCTAACTCAAGGGTCACAAACTCAAATGGTCAAAAAGAAGAAGAAAACAGTCAAATTTAAGAAAAACAGAATAAAAATGTATTTAAGAGAAAATAGGAAGTAGGGTGGTGAGGACTACTAAAAACTGGAGAGTTACATCCCCAAACCAAGGTGGAAGCTACTACTTAGTTTTAGAGATGCTGCTGTGTGAGAGGGCAGTGTCAGTTCCAATGCTGCATGCTCTTGCAAATATTTAAGAAAAGCTGGATATTGCATTTTGTGGGCAGCATCTCAAATCCTCAGTACTAAAAAAACATATTTGTTTCAATCAAGCAATAAATATCTGCAGGTTGTATCTGGAGCCCAAGGTCACAAATTTCTCAACTTAGCTTTAAATGATTAATTCATAAAAGAAACCTCTATTATATATTTCACTAATGAGTCTACGTTTGTTTTAATTGAGAGGGGTCTCACTATGTTGCCCAGGATGGTCTTCAACTCCTGGTCTCCAGTAATCCTCCTGCCTCAGCCTCCCAAGTGCTGGGATTATTACAGACATGAGCCATCGCGTCCAGTCTTACTAATGAGTCTATCGTTAGTATTCTCATTAAATGGGCACTTATACATGTGTTTCAATTAATAAGGCACTACACCCTATTCTTAATTCCTTTCCTATTCTGAACAAGTGGATTTCTTCCTCTTGTGTCTGTTTTTACTTCTTCTAATCTGATAAATTTCTTACGAATGCCTGTCTATTTCATCTTAGTATACACTACCCCAGCAATACTTTACACAGAGTAGGTGCTCAATGAAAAAAAAAAAACACATCATCCAACCTTCAAAGACCTGCTAATAAAGTATTTACAACATCCTCATTCAAAAACAAATCACACAATCTGCCCTAATAGCTTTGAAAAGCCCTGTGACTTTGAGTCCACTTAATGGGACAATCACATTCACACTAATTTTGACACAAACTGGGTCAAAACAGTTACAACATACCTCACCAAAACCACCAAAGTACTCCCTTATTTTCTCTTCAGGTGTATCTGGAGAAAGGCCACCAACAAAAATTTTTTTAACCGGCTCTTTTGTTTTCATGGCTTTGGCCCTTTTAGGATCAATCACCTTCCCATTCAATTTATGTTCTTTCTGATCCATAACCTAAGGAAATTGAAGTTTTCATTTAAAAAAATATATATCTTAACTAAAGTTCAGAGAATATTAACTTACTTAAAAGTAACTATAGTTAAATACAGATAATGCCAGGCATATGTTGACTTGCTCAAGATTAAACCGTCAAGTCATGTTGGTGATGTCGTATCAACCAACATATACTAGTGTTTATGTCTTAAAGATGGTAGGAAATACACAAATGTAACCAATTACTAAATAACCATTACCTTTTAACTGTCAACAATATATAAAAACATGACTGCTACTTCCCTTTAGCCAGGATCAAAATAATGATTCAGTTAAAAGTTGCTTGCCTAACAAAATTTCAAAACATTTATTTCTGTGAACTGTTAAAACACATCCTTTTAATCAGGCATCTTTAAGTCACTGGTATCGTTAAAGTTAGTGTTAAAAGTTAGTAGAGCCTGGAACACAAATTATTCAGAAAACAATTCTGAAACCTGCCTCTATCTGCATAAAATGTATTAGCAAGAACTATTATCTTCCTTCCTATACTATCAAAAGGGGAACCAAAAATAGGCAAACTCATTGTATCAAACTATCCATGTTAATATTTTATATTATTAACTGATCAGAACACATAACACACTACCTTATCTACACTCTCCGATTCTTTAAATAGCACAAAGCCAAAACCCCTTGATCGCCCTGTGATAGGATCTAACTTCAGAGTGCAGTCTACAACTTCACCAAATTTGGAAAAGTAGTCCTTCAGATCTTTCTTTGTAGTGTCCCAGCTAAGGCCTCCTATAAACATTTTCCTGTAAAGACAAAAAGCAGTATTAAAATGCTTAAAAAAAAAAAAAAATTGCCTTAAATATTATCCACATAAATAACACACCTTTTCCAAACTGCACCAGTTTACTGGGCAGTATATTAAAACATCATTACTCCTACATAACCACACATCAGGAACATCCTATTCTAAAAAGCTGGCTTATCACTGCTGCTCCTGAATAATTAAAAAAGAGTGAGCAAGCAGCAAATTAAGTCTTCCATCTTGCTAAAAGATAAATGTATACCCAAAGTAAAAATACTGTACTTAAAAGTTTTCCTTAGATTAAATTAAATAGGTAACAGCAAAAGACAGAATCTTAGCTTCTTTGCTTCAAGTTTCTCTTCCAAATGTTCATTAAATTTGTCAAAAGGCTATGCAGTTCCCCATTGATCTCAGCAACCAGCATTGGTGTCTATGCTGAAGCTCCTTTTCTATTTTAACAGTTTTCTCATTAACAAAACTCTCAGCACATAAAATGGAAAATTCGACATCTCACAATTATGTTGTGAACCAATTATTTTGATGTGCTAAGAGTCCTTAAGACAAAAGCAATGTGCAATGTAAACAATTTAGTGAAAATTATCCATTGAAGTACAATCCATGAATTAACTTAGATCATTCATTTACAGTAGAACCTCAGTTAACCAGCAATAAAGTGTTTAAGCCTTTAAAACGCAAAAAGTGATGGGTGGTAATCAAAAACCACCAAGACACTTTAAGACCAAAGGTATATATACTCAAAACGAAAGACTTTAAGGTGAAATATTACTAACATTACAGCAAAGCACCAGAAAGTTCAGATTGGGCAGTTTTACATATGCTCCCTTTGTGCAAAGAAAGAAAGAAAGGAAGGCTATCCTATACCTACCTTCTACCCTTTAAAAAGACAGGACTGGAAATTTTTAATTTTAAGGGTAAACTGTCAGAATTTGTTATGTTATGGCTAAAAATTTCACCATGGGAATCAAATCAGGCTTGTTCAATGTTTTCTCATCTTTTTTACTGGGGAGGGGTCATGCGTGGGGCCAGGATGTGACACTAACTCAGCTCCGTAAAGAAATTAAAGGCCTTTCATAAGGAAACATCTCCATCTTGTGGGCTTTCAAGATATTGCCAGCTAAGGCCCATTCTTGGAATAAAAAGGACAATTAATTATCCCTTGAGAAGTAGGGTTTTTCTTCACTTCCTCGAAGACACCTGATTAACTGAGGTGTTACTGATCTTACAATCTTACCACAGAGTTTTTTTTTTATATATATACAAATGAAGTTTCGCTCTTGCTGCCCAGGCTGGAGGGCAATGGCACAATCTCAGCTCACTGCAACCTCCACCTCCCAGGTTCAAGCGATTCTCCTGCCTCCTGCCTCAGCCTCCGAGTAGCTGGGATTACAGGCATGCACCTTCATGCCCAGCTAATTTTTTATTAGAGGTGGGGTTTCTCCATGTTGGTCAGGCTGGTTTCCCCATGTTGGTCAGGCTGGTCAGTCCTGACCTCAGGTGATACCCCCCATCTCGGCCTCCCAAAGTGCTGGGATTACAGGCGTGAGCCACCTCGCCAGACAGACTTGTTTTACTTCTACTGACAAAGCAAACTTTTAGTGCAAAAAAGTATTAGTTATATACTACACTTCCCACTTCAGGTTAGCTTTTTCAAAATTTATTCTAGAACTGGGCCATTTATATGCTTAATATTTAGGACTTCCTCAAAGTTTCCAGGCTTGAAATAGCACGTATAAAACAACTCTGGTATTTTATAATCAAATGAACATAACAAAAACACCCATCATGTTTTGTCTATTTGAAATGTTTACTTCTTGCCAATTCCATGGAAGAAATTTGAGTTATTTCTCAATATGCATTTTCTTTAATTTGAATAGTGTACCTTCTAATGTACAATCTTTATTTATATAATTTGCTAAAAACACTTTAACTTACAGGTCCAGAATACTTCCTTTAGACATAAGTTATTAACCCACATTCACCCATAAAGGTGAGGATACTATCTCTGTAATGAGAAAGAGAACTGACTATAAAGCAGTGACCTCTTGCTAAGATGTTCATGGCAAGTTCCACAACAGAAACAACTTCAATTAAGTTGAGATTTAACTATTAAATTACCCTTTCAGTGATTACAGAAATTTCTCAATAATAACAAAGTTTAAAAGTATTTCAGCCTGAACACAACAGTTTTAACAAAATCATTTTTAAAGCTGAAGTTGAAAGGCAAGAAAATTCTCTGGTCTATTCAGATATGGAGAAGGAACTAGTTTTGATTTTATTTAACCAAAAAGCAATGTTTATATTGGGAAAATATCCTTAAAATTATTAAGAAACAGAAAACAATTACAAATGAATAAATTACCATGAGGCATGTTGTACTATTATTCTGAAGCCCCAAGTGTTTTTCAGACAAGCAGCAGATTTTCTTAAATACTATATAAGCACAGCAAAGTGCTCTCCAAAGGTACTCCCAACATGCCTACCTTAGAGCTACAAGGTTCACTGAAGATACTATCCCTCCTAAATAATCAAATATCACTTATCCAGAATATTTAAAACCATCTATCCAGCACTTTTGGAGAATAAGGAGCCAGGTATTTCACCTTCCTTAAAGCACTGCCTGCCCTCTCTAATCCTTCCCCAATTGTTTTTAACCTTCAACCATTTGAAATGAAATTTTCTGCTAACACCACCACACTTTTCTGCCTTCTTATACTTCAAATAATCATGATTTAACACTTTATGGCTCAGTCATCACTATTACACTGATTTAGAATACCCACAATGTCTTCTAAAGTTAGATATTAATACACCAAGTGCATCTCATTTTTCACAAGTTCTGCTTTTCATTTTTGCCAGATCAATCACCAGTTGCTATTCTAAAATGTCTCCCTTTCATTTTGCAGAGTAGTAGCCAGCTCTCAAACTTTTCAAATTCTGTATAAAGTTGAAAGTCTCTAAGCAAATTAATGCTTTGGCAGTCCAAAAGCACTCTGGCTTGTTCTTCCTTTGTTCTAATTAAGAAAGGCTGTTCTCAGGTTATGCTTAGCCTTTTTAAAAAAAAAAAAAAAAAAAAAAAAAGGTTGCTGAATAGGTGAATATGCTACGATGAACACTAATTGTACCAAATCCATCCCAATTTTACTAAATGGAACATATTAATTCCATTCCATCTTTATTTTTATTATTATTTTTTTTGAGACGGTCTTACTTTGTCACTCAGGCTGGAGTTCAATGGCTGGTTCTCGGCTCACTGCAACCTCCACCTCCTGAGTTCAAGTGATTCTCCTGCCTCAGCGTCCCCTGAGACTACAGGCTCATGCCACCACACCTGGCTATTTTTTTTTTTTTTTTTAGTAGAGATAGGGTTTCACTGTGTTAGCCAGGATGGTCTCAATCTCCTGACCTCGAGATCCGCCCGCCTTGGCCTCCCAAAGTGCTGGGATTACAGGCATGAGCCACCACGCCCAGCTATTTTTATTTTTGAAACAGTCTCACTCTTGGGCCCAGGCTGGAGTACAGTGGCACGATCTTGGCTCACTGCAACTTCTACCTCCCAGGTTCAAATGATTCTCGTTCCTCAGCCTCCCTGGGAGGGATTACAGGGTGCGCCACCACACCTGACTAATTATTGTATTTTAGTAGAGACGGGGTTTCCCCACGTTGGCCAGCTAGCCTTGAACTCCTGGCCTCAAGTGATCTGCCCACCTCACCCTCCCAAAGTGTTGGGATTAAAGGCGTAAGGTTACCACCTCAGCCCCAAATTCTAACTTTATAGTACAGTGGGGAAGTTTGCTTATCTTAATTATGGATAAATGAGCACTTAGTCTCCACAATGCTGGCACACATGCTCTCCCTCAAACTGATGGCATAAGGTAATAATTTAAATTATCTATATATATTGTATGACTGTATCTTGCTTTTAAAGCACATCTAACTATCTGTCCAGATTACCTCTGCTGCCTTGAATAAAAACAAAGAGTTTCATATTGCTGTCACTCCTGTATACATGCAAACACTGTCCAATGAAATAGAACCTCAGAAAAAACCCTAAGCAGCCACATTAAAAACGACTAAGACTTCTTCAACTAGCAACAAGGATGGCCCTTAATGCTACAATGTAAGTTTAAACTTTGATCCTTAGCTGTAAGTGAACTGATCTCAATTAAAACGCAGGACTTCATCCACAGTATTTTATTAACATAGGTGAATTTCTTAATCCTAGCTATAAACTAAATATTCAGCACACCAAGGCTTAATATGCTGTTCAGTTTACAACACCTACTCAACAATAAAGTCTCCTTGCTTTCACATTGGCTTATACCAAATTGTAAAATTAAATGACAAGCATAAAGTTAACACAACATAGATGACTATTCAAATGCTATGTAGTATCATTCAAGAATTTAAGGCTTAAATTTAAAATTGTGGGACATTTTATCATCTTTTAATGCAAGTAAGTTTACAGGCAATAAAGACAAACTGCCTGGGTTTTAACCCTACCCCTGCCTTTTTTTTTAAGACAGGGTCTTGCTCTCCCCCAGGATGGAGTGCAGTTGCTCCATGACAGCTCACTGCAGCAATGACCTCCTGGGTTCAGTCAGTACTCCCACCTCGGCCTCCCCAGTAGCTCAGACTTGCTAGCACCCACCACCGTGCCTGGCTAATTTTTTTGCATTTTTTTTTTTTTTGTAGAGATCAAGTTTTACTATGTTACCCAGGCTGGTCTTGAACTCCTGGGCTCAAGCTGCCCACCTCGGCCTCCCAAAGTGCTGGAGTTATAGGCATCAACCACTGCACCTGGCCCCCTGCCTCTTACTGTGTAACATTAAGAAAAAATATAAAAGTCCAAGATTGTTTCCCCATCTGTAAAAAGAGCCTACCTCAGATATTTGCAGAGGGTTAAACTAGTTAACACTTAAAGGAGATAGAACAGTCTGACACAGATTGTTAGTGATAGATAAAAGTTACTATTTTGAACGG